GAAAACTTACTGTGGGCACTTTGTACTTTTAAAGACTTTGCAACAATTCAATTTTCCTCCCAGCAGCCCAGTGTTTCAGGTCAGTCCACTGTCTTTCACTCTCAGAATGAGACGTGCATGAAGAGCCGCTGTGCTAAAATAGCTCCAGAGCACCTGATTCACTAGTTTCCTTCCTACATTTGGATAGACCCATGGTGCTGTTTTCTTTTATTTATACATGTTTTGGTTATCTTGGATCTACTCTTCACAATAACCCCATAATGAGATGCTCTTAACTCCATTTCACAAATGAAGATATGTGACCCGTAAAATTCAGAGGATTTGCACTCAGGTACAGATAGCTGTAAGTAGCCAGATTGGGATTTGAGTTTAAATCTCCAAATTTCTATGCTGTGTTCAAATGGGAATACTTAACCACTAATTTCTCCTTGTCCTTCCGGTGAACTCTGACTCATCTGTTGAGATGTCACCCAGATATCTATCATTTTTATGTATTGACACTTTTTTAAAATGAAGGCTTTCTATATTCCAGACTCTCAGAATGTTGTATGAACAGTGATGAGCACAAGACCTGGTTTCTGCTTCCACAGGGCTCACAGCTTCAAGAGGATCTATAAAAACACACACTGGGTATGTCCAGGAGTAAAATAATGATGGTGCTCGGATAGAGGGAATTGAGGGCAACAGGCCAGTGGATGGTCTGGACTCACTGAGAAAGTGACATTCAAGCTGCAACGATGAGTGCAAAGGTGGCCACATGTGAATAGCAGGGGAGGGTGAGAGGCAGAAAGAGGAGCACATGCCCAGAGCCTGAGTCAGAACAGGAGCAAGAAAACCAGAAGTCAACCAGGGGAAAGTACCACCTGTAACCAGGGGAGAATGAAAGAGTAGAGAAAGTTTGGGGATTAGTGGAAGAGGTCAGAGGAATGGGTTGGGGCCAGATAACTCAGGGTCTGCTGGGATGAATGTAGATGTTGGGGTTCTGAGTCACCAAACTTGTCAAGTGAGAGTCATGATCATACCTTTTTGCTGTCTTATGCTTATTTGTCTGTTATCCCTTCCTGACCATATGCTTCTCAGGTGCCTAAGATAGTGCTCAGGATAAAAGAAGCATCAACAAATTATACAAAAAAATGGGTAAATTGCAACTGATAACAGTAATTCTATAAGAATCTCATTGAAAACTAATACGGCTGGAGTAAAGAAAGAAATCGTCATTTCTGTTCCTGGCTGAGAATAAAATCAATCAAATAACATTTACATTTATATAAAAATAGACAGCGACTGTGTACTAAGAACAATTCCAACTGTTAGTAGCTTGCAGTGGGCTCAGTGTTCTATGTACAACTTTTAGATTTAATTTTCATGACAATAAAAATGAAGCAG